GGAGAGGGGCTGCTGGGCCTGCCCAGCCCTCCTTGAATGGGGAAAGACCCTCCCCACTGCTTTCTTCCCCCCCCCCTACACACACACACACCTCTCATACAATACACACACTCCTCACACAATACACACACACACAGAGGGCGGAGAGGGGCTGCTGGGCCTGCCCAGCCCTCCTTGAATGGGGAAAGACCCTCCCCACTGCTTTCTTCCCCCCCCCCTACACACACACCCACCTCTCATACAATACACACACTCCTCACACAATACACACACACACAGAGGGCGGAGAGGGGCTGCTGGGCCTGCCCAGCCCTCCTTGAATGGGGAAAGACCCTCCCCACTGCTTTCTTCCCCCCCCCCTACACACACACACACCTCTCATACAATACACACACACCTCACACAATACACACACACACAGGGCGGGGAGGGGCTGCTGGGCCTCCCCAGCCCTCCTTGAACGGGGAAAGACCCTCCCCACTGCTCTCTCTCCCCCCCCCTACACACACACCTCTCTCTCTCTCACACACACACACACCTGGCGGGGAGGGGCTGCTGGGCCATCCTGGGGGCAGGTTGTGGGGGGGGCTCAGCCTACCCAACCTACCTTGGACAGGGAAAGACAGCCCCCCCCAACACTTTTCCCTCCCCCCCCCACCGCCAGAGGCCCAAGTGGGGCAGTCTGGGTCCGCTTGGGGGCCTGGGAAGACGAAGCCTCCCCTCACGCTCTTGGGGATTTGGGCCTGAGGCCTCTCGCCTGGCCCTGCCAAAAGCAGCCGGGGAGCCTCCCAGCACCAGCACCGTCTGCCCCACTCCTCCTTCAGCCAGTTCCTTTGGAGGGTTCTTAGCTTCCACAAAAGGAGCCAGGAGAAGCCGCAAGAGCTGCAGCCGAATGGTCCCACCTCCGCCTTAGACTTGGAGGAGAGGCTCCAGCCTCTGGGACCCCTTGGGCCTCAGGGGAGGGGGTGGGTGGGAAAGGCCCCTGACCGCTTCTTGAGGCCCCCACCAAGATAGGGTGGGGGTGCCAAACCCCAAGTTCCAACCTTGCAGGTCAGAGCAGCCTCCCTTCTCTTTCAGCCCTGGTGATCCTATTGCTTTAAACCGGTTTCTTTTGGATAGTAGGATATATATTTTTTTCTTTTTGAGATAGAACTGATGACATTCCCCAGCTGAGTCATGAAACATCTGCAAGAAAGGCACCGAGGTCCCTGCAGTTGAACCCTGAGCTACAAATATTCTCTTCTACTAGAATATTTTATAGTAAAAAGCCTACGGTGGGGTGGGGAACCCCATGCTCTTTGGCCCAGTGTGTTGGCATTGCAGACATAGCGAAGCCCACCCCATCCACCCACCCCCCGGTTTGTTCTTGCACAGCCCCTCGAATTTTGGAGAGCATTCACCCGTTTTTCCCTTCTTTCCCAGGACATCAAGCCGATGAGGGACCAAATAGTCCGCGTGAAGCGATACGAAAAAGTTCCTCTCATCCTGGTGGGGAATAAAGTTGACCTGGAATCGGAGAGGGAGGTTTTGTCAGCGGAAGGCCGAGCTCTGGCCCAGGAGTGGGGCTGCCCCTTCATGGAGACCTCTGCCAAGAGCAAGACCATGGTGGATGAACTCTTTGCCGAGATTGTGCGACAAATGAACTATGCATCCCTGCCGGAAAAGCAAGAGCAGTGTTGTACAACTTGTGTTGTCCAGTGAGGGAGAAAGCAAACTCTCCATCATGGCCATGCAGAGCAGGTAGGTGCCTCCTCCCCTCCCTCCCTCCCTCCCTCCTCCCCCAAATAGCCTCTGGGTGAGGGATGGGGCTGTTCCTTGCAGCAATGCCATTGTGAAAGAGAAGAGCAGCCCTTTGGCTCCCTGGCTAAGTCGGTGGATGATGGGTGCTGCGCTTGGGTTCCTTTTGAGCAGCATACAGAGCCAGAATTTTTCAGTTTAACTTTGCTGGACGCCCCCAAAACACATCAGCCTTTTTGCGAATTGGCTGTGATTGAGCTGGCACACACACACACCCTTCTCTCTCTCTCTCTCGAGTTCTTGGATTTTTCTTCCACCCTGTTTCCAAAATAACCGGAAGCCAGGATCGGCTGCCTTGCAGTACTCGGTCCCAACAAACGTGGTTTGCCAAGTAGCAGGGCAAACAGTTAAACTCAACACGTAACGCTCACAAACCATCTTCTCCAGTCTTTGGCAGAGAAAGTGCCATCGTGAGATAATAAGGGGGCTTTCTATTAGAATCAGAATAGAGCCGGAAGGGACCTTGGAGTTCTTCTAGTCCAGCCTTCTGCTTCAGGCAAGAGTCCCCTATATACCATCTCAGACAATTGACTGTCTAATCCAGGGCTGTCCAAACTTGGGAACTTTAAGATTTGTGGACTTCAACTCCCAGAATTCCCCAGCCAGCCATACATGGCTGGCTGGGGAATTCTGGGAGTTGAAGTCCACAAGT